GGGGGGGGGGTTTGCTATAGGGCACGTGCGCTCACCAGAAAGACAAAGAGACAGAGAGACAGAAAGCGAGAAATCACCGTCCCCCTCAGGGGGGATGGCCACGCTGCAATCCCTTCTCTTCCATTCTCTTGGGATCTTGGGCACGCACACACGTGCTCGGCGTGAGTTTAAGCCACCAGGTCCAGGATCCGATCCATGGTCGACTACGTGGGAGTCCAGCGGCACAGCCATTACGCCAACTGCTGGTTCCCTCCTGGTCACCAGCGCCTGGGCCCTCACCCTATCCATTAGCTGAGCTTCCAGGACTTCTGGTCTCAACTAGCCATCAATTTCCTCGAATGCTCTTGTGGGATTGTTTCTCCTCTATTTAAAACGTGGTAATTTTTCACTCTACGATCAACTCGAGTCTACAGCCTGACTGTATTTTATCTATTGCATCCACACACATCCTCTTAAAGTTCCCTTTCCCTAACCCCATCACGTCTGTTCCAGCTCACCCTACCGCTCGCCCCTCCCTGTGGGGCAGCCACCAGCCCTTCCACCCCCCAGCTCTCAGGCTCCTCTCCAGAACCCCCCTAGGCTTTACACAGACTCCTCCCGCTGCCTGAGGTCGTGCTGGCTCCGCCTCCCGGAGTCCTACTGTACCAACTCAGAGGGTGGCAGCTGGCCGAGTGTAAACCACTTAGGAGATGTTAGGGCCAGTCCTGGAAAACTGAACGTTAGCTTTACACCCGGGAGGGCTCCTGCACACACCAGTCAGGAGACTGGTGCAAAGATGTTTCTAGCAGCCCTGTCTGTAACAGCAGAAAAATGAAAACTCCTCCAACGTCCACTGACAGAATGGATGAAATATTTATCTAAATTCCTTCCCACACGACGAGAACACAGTCGGACGTGAAAATGAATAAACTGCAGGAACACAACATCGGGACCATAAAGCCGGAGAGCAGAGCACTCAGAGACCGGGTCAGAAGGACAGTCTTTGTAAGGCTCAAGAAAGGCAAAAATGAGCTGGGTATGGGCGGAGGCGTTACGATTTGAGAGGACAGAAAAAGGCAGAGGAATAACATGACCAAGAGTAGCGTGACCTAAATGGGGGGGTGAGGTGGAGGAAGACGGGCCACATGAAGGACACAGGTGTCAAGAGCCACTCTGGCTGCTCTGAAGGTGGGCTTAGGACCTGTGTGCCACATATAGCGGCTTAAAGGGGGGTGTGTCCTGCGAGCCATCAGAGACTCTGTAACACTGCCGAAAAAAAATCCCGATCGCCTCAAGACTTTGGCTTGAGGGTCCAGCAAGTAGTATAGAGGTTAAGGTGCTGGATTCCCACATGGCTGACCACAGTTCAAGTCCTGCACCCAGTAGCTTGAAAAGTCACACTGGTGTGCACGTTCATACCCAAAATGCTGAGAAGAGAACGGCGAAGGGACTGCAGTGTGACCATCCCCTCCGAGAAGTGCTTTCTCACTTTCCCCTGTTCCTCTACAGCAAGTGCACATGCCCTATGACAAAAAAGCAAAAATAAACAAACCAAACAAAATCGGCTTGCGACAGGCCTATGGAAGAAAGAGCCAATGAAATAAGGTACCCAGTCCAATACCGAGATAGCTGTGTGACTAGGAAATAACAGTAATGAGTGGGAAGAGGTAAACGGGGCCCCTGGCGCTCTCAGTGTGGGAAGGCCTGGGCCGGAGACCTGAGCTCCAGGCCAGCAGGGCTTTGCTGGACCCGGTGGCTCTGGCCCCAGCACACAAGTGATGGACCCAGCAGCTCCCGTCTCTCCCTGGTCACCCAGATGACGTCCTCTAAGGCCATGGGGGGGGAGAAATCAGCAAACACCCAGATGACAGGAGCTCTAGGACTCACTGCTCACATTACAGGGAAATGGGGTGACCCTTAAAATAAAAAAGAACAAAACACACCATTTACAATGTCCTTTCTTTCACTTTTACACAATTTGCAATAAGGCACGATTCTTAGGCGGTTTTTCATTTTTTTTATTGCTGTTAATTCAAGGAAAAAAGGTTGCATAAAATCCAATCTGTTCTAGAAATATAAGTGTCCTTTCCAGTACATAACATTTCAAATATCAAAGTATATGGTAAACATACAAAGAAGGAGAAGGTAACATACCTCCTATGTACAGTACAGTATTTTAAATCATAAAATAAGCTCCGTAAAGTACAACTGGCAAGTAATTCACAATGCGGTCCATACGTTGCTTATCAAAACTCTCACTTGAACAACTCAACTGCAGCTTAACAATTAATTTAATAATGTGGTCCAAAAATACCCAGATCAAATAAAATATATTTAATCAAAATAATTTCCTTTACTTGAACTTTTTTCTTTCTAAATTAAAGCTTTCATCTACCCCTTCACGCCCACCCCTCCCCCTTCCCCATAACTCCCACCCCTGAAAGAAAAGTTTCAAAATGTACATTGGTGCTATAAATATAAATGCTACTTATGAAGCATTAAATTCAGCTTCTTTTTTCTTCAAGTTTTCTCTTTTGTTTAGCAATCAGTTAGGCTTCTGACCCAAGACCAAACATTCCAGCTCCTCTGCTGCATACCAACAGGACTCCACACAACAAAACCTATCACCTCTGCTCGGTATGAGGAACGGGAACCACACGCCCAAGCCCTGAAACCTGCGACTACACAGTAGGAGCTGTTCACTGCTGTTGAATGCAGCAGGCCCCCCACCCCAAACACAGCCTTATCTTCCAGATAACTTCAGTGCACTTTAGGAAATCAAAAATTACCTGGAAGCAATTTAGTACATAGATTGGCTTTAAAAAAAAATTTTTTTTTAAACAGCAGCATTAAACTTAGTGACATGACACTGACATGATTAATACCATCTTAACACACTCAGAATTCAGTCTTTCACATTATAATTAAGCATAGTGGAAAACTGTTACAAAAGTGACTTTGCTGAGAGACAGGTTAGGGAACAAACACCTGACGTTTTGGAGACCCATAGCATCTGTTCAGATCGCAACAGATCGCACACATTTTCAACACGGCAACACTGGGGCAGTCGGTAGAGGAAGAGGAGACGATTTTACAGTCAAGTAGTGTCTCTTTGAGCACGACATGGCGGTAGACAAGTGAAATTGGCTGTCAACTTTCATTACGAACACAAGCACACACAGAACAACATTCACACCAGTGTGTTCACTTTGTGTCTCTGAAGCAACAGGCTAGAGAAGTATGATGGAAGTAAAAAGTTGGTTTTTCCCCCTAGAAAAAGCTCTGTGTCCACCTCATACAGCATTTGTTTTCAGATTCATATGGTCTGACTTCTTGCTCTCCCTTCCACCTCCTCTTATTTCTCTTGGGACAACAAGCGCGGCATCTATGTACTGACGGGATGCTTTATTACATATATACACACGATTGGGAATTTGATGTCTCTCCTAAGGTTGAGGTGAAACACTTCGCCCTCGGTCTACACGCAGAGCAGTTTACAACGTGTGGACAAGCATGCTGCCAGTCACTCCTGCCACAGGTGGGACAGGGCACGGGGGCTGGAGAGAGTGTTGTCAGGGTGAGAGTGAAACAAGCTGCGGAAGCAGTTTCTTTTTTCAAAACCATACGACTGTCACCAGTGTTGTAACACAAAGGTCAGATACACAGTTTTAAAGATTCAGTAAACATTGCACACAGCAAGTATTCAGTGTAAAAAAAAAAAAAGCACGCATCAACATTTTCCTTTTCATAGCAGGTCTGGAAGTTTAAATTACATGTATCATACACATAAGCCTGTTGTTGAACCAGGAGACCAGAGGCTCAAAAGCATTGCATTCTTTCTTCTTTTGGACATTGGTACGAGAGAAATGAAAAATCCCAACTGCATAGAAATCTAGGAAATGTATAGACAAAGAAACGAACAAAATACCTTTCCTTTCCTCCCCTCCACACCCCATGGCTCCCCACTTGAGTGTGTTAAGTAGGCAAGCTTTACTCGTTTCAGTCTGCAGAATCCAACGTATCATTAGAAGGGGGGAGGGGAGGTGCGTATCTCAGTCTGTAAGTGCCTAAAACGGGAAAGACAGAACTGCTAAGTCACTGCTTACAACGAAATGTATCACAAAGCACTACAAGATACCGGCGGGCATGCTTGTCAGAAGGCCCCTCTTCGGTGCTAGCACTATTCCACACGGTAAATGAGCTACGTTACAAAGGTGACATGGACTTTGTGCTTTCGGTTAAGCCTAAAGCCATCCGACTCAATCTTCCTTCAAGAATGACACATAAATGCACTCCCAACTCAAGGCTTTTAAGAAAATGTCAAAGGCCAAATTGCAAGTGAACGTTAACAGGTCGAGATCAACACTGAATTTGGTATCGTACTCACAGGTGGGTAAGAGCGTTTTTTTAATTTTTTTTTGGTGGTAATAACATTAAACCTAGTTCAAATTTCCTCACTCTCAAACCAGTACTTAATTATTTTGTTCCTGTAAAATGCAGAAGAACCTTGGATTTTTTTTCTTTTTAAACATTTACTGGGAAGAAAAGTGTGGCACGAGGGACACGCACAGGGCCAGCTGGTAACCCAGACACATCGAAGAGCTGCGGACACCTCACGTCGGCTGGGGAGGGACTTCCTAGTCTCAGCATTTAAACATTTTGCTTACTCCAGGAAACAGGGTTATAGCTGTAAAAAAAGGTGCTACAGCAAGAGACTTAACACTAGATAATCCACGTTCTCATTATATGCCTTGAAAAGTGCTTTTAGAGTTTATTCCTTAATTGGAAACTGAACTCCGCTGAAATGCCTTGTGCTCTGTGTGACATGGGCCTACACTAGGATTTTCTGGTTGCATTTTATGATTTGTCACCGAAAACACAACATTCGTAAACACACACACAAATAGATCTTTCTGCTACAACAGAATCACATGATCAATAAGGAAAGGGAGGAGAAACAGGTGAACTCAAAAACAAGTCCTCTGGGAGTTATTGTGATTACCTTGTTGACTGGCCTCCATGGTCGACTGCTTACAGTCCTGTGCATAGTGTCCGCTCACACCACAATTGTAACATGAGACATTCCCATTCTTCTTGGGCCCCGAACCACTGGTGTTGGCAACTACACTAGGTGCTGGGTACACAGGATAAACTCTCGCGAACCCTGCCATCTGATGCATGCCATAGTTAGCTTGGCTCCCCATGACAGGGTCGTGCACCAGTCCATTTGCATACGGAGTCTGAGGCAGAAAGAAAGGAAGTTGGTTTCCATTGCTCTGATGTGCTTGGTTGAGGTAGCTGCCATTGCAAATGGATGGCAGAGTGAAGAACGATGGGACTCGGTACATTGGTCCGGGCACTGGATTAGGGTAATAGTAACTATTAAGCTGAAGGTTTCCATTGGTCCCACAGCTGCACCTTCGCCCACAAGAACCACAAGGACCTGAGGCCATTTGCTGCGGTGGCACCACCGTCCCATTAGAGTTCGTGTTCCCCACAGCATTGATGTAAGACGTACTGTCACTCTGTGCGGTACTGTGGGTCAGAGCAGGGCTGGGGCTGGGGGCAGGGCCAGGGGTATGGGTGGGCACTGCGGGAGGGACAGGAGACTGGGCCTGGCTGATGCCTGCACTTGCCGGCTGGGCAGAAGTCGCTGCTGTGTTGAGCACACTGGAATTCTGGTTGGGCAACACATTAGCAGCAAGGGGAGAGCCCGGGAGGGTGTATGAGGCTGGTGGCTGTGCGGCGGAGAGGCCAGCTGCTGGGAGAACTACCTTCACATTGGTAGGCTGAGGGACTGTCCCTGTGTTTCCCTCAATTTGAGGCACCATTTGATTTAGTCCTACCACTTGGGATGCAGATTTTGTGATGGGGTCCGTGGTAGCCACAGGAGATCCTGGAAAACTACCTGGGTTATGGACAGGGATAAAGGCAGTGTTTGGTGATCCGATGCTCAGACTTCCGGTGGGCTGCTGTGGGATGTTCACTGTGCAGCTCTCGGAAGATCCCTGTGGTGGTGGCAATTTCAGCCTCGGAAATGTCAGGTGCAAAGCAGGAGTACTGCCGTGTGGAAGGAAGGTGGATGGAACAGGTAAAGGGGTTGCCAGCAGTTCCAGATGTTTTTCTGATTCTCCAATAGAGGCTGTTGGTCCTAGTATTCCAACAGGGGTTGAACTGGTGGACTCCCTTATTGCAGAAATAGCAACAGGACTAGGAACAAGCATCCCTATTGCTTTGCCATCAGCAGATTTGGGTGGAGGAATGACAACTTCAGACTTCTGGGCACCATTGTGCATGACACAGTGTAAAGTTGGCATAAAAGAAATATGCTGATACTTGGGAGAGTTTAAGGGATCTTCTAAAAGGCTTCCATTCTCATCGCCTAGTGCAGCAATCTGAACAGGTGGCTTGACAGTGACAGTCTGGTTGACAGAACCATAACCTGTAAACCTGGTTGTTGATGGATTCCCAGAATCCTCAGAATTGCTGTCTGAGTCTAAAGGAAACAAATGTAAATAAATATTAACATGAGCATAACTCCCATTTTTTTTTTCTGGAAATAAAATTTAAGCCTATTTGAAATTAAGTCAAGTTTGGAATGTGTCCCTCTATCATATTTTGTGACTATCCAAGATGACCTAACTTTTAAATGTTGGCTTTCTACAGATATCCACACGTGCTTTTAATTTAAAAATATGAAACATGAGCAAAAACAAAAGATTTGGAGACTAAATAAAGCACAGTTTTATAAAGCACCGAGATCTATGGAATACCACCTTACTACTGAAAAAGTATTAGATACTTTTAACCTCAGTTCGTAGTGGGCAGTCCGTTTGATTTATAGTTTGCATTGCCAGACTCAAGGTCTTCAGCTTGTCTCAGATAAATGATGTAATTTAAAGGAGCTCAATCAAAACAACATTTAACTCAAATGCCTAAAGGAAGAGCATGCAAGAGGTTTTTAAGAATGGAAAAAATATTCTCATCACTAAGTATTTCAATGGGAGAGAAAAAAAATTAAGTACCATTACTCATAAAACAAGTATGCTAGGAACACAAAAAGCAGGGCATAAATAGAAGGGCATTGCCATTTCTCCAAAACCAGAACAGCAAAATGGCAGGTATAAACCACGTATGTGTCTCACTACTGAACCACCCTGTGCTTACACTGAGATAACCCCAGTTTAGACTCCCTGACCTCTGGTACGAAGGAGGCAAAGGATAAAAGCTAATTCATAACGTTTAAATAGCATAAATCCAGATACCGCATTGATGTACACAGATCACGCAATTAAACATAGTGCCTATTCAAAACCCTTTCTGCTTATAAACATAATGCAATTAGGTACTAAAATGTTTATATTTATTGATTATATTCAGCTTAAGATGCTAAAAAATTTAAAACAGAATTCTAAAAACCAACTAGACTATTCTTTCTTGAGAAAGGTAAAATGAAGCCTACTGACGCAGAACGTGACCAGTTTTATTAACTCAACCATGACAGTTTATTTAGGGAAAGGAGGTTCAATTAATGAGGGAATGCTTCTAGAATAAACTTCCCATACTAAATTAATAACTGTTTTTTTTTTTTTTTTTTTTTTTTT